ATCCTAGGTGTGTAGTACTACGTTTAAGTACCCTCTTATGATGTTTGCATGATGAAATCATGTAACAATGCATCTCTCAGAATGTATCCCCATTGTTAATCAGTGCATGACAGTATTTCAGAATGAATTTTTTTTTTTTTTTTTAATTAGACTAAGTCTTGCTCTGTTGCCCAGGCAAGTGCGGTGGTATGATCTCAGCTCACTGCAACCTCCATCTCCCGGTTTCAAGCTATTCTGCGGCCTCAGACTCCCAAGTAGCTGGGACTCCAGGTGCATACCACCACGGCCAGCTATTTTTTTGTATTTTTAGTAGAGATGGGGTTTCACCATGTTGGCCAGGCTGGTCTCGAACTCTTGACCTCAAGTGATCCACCCACCTCAGCCTCTGGAAGTGCTGGGATTACAGGCGTGAGCGAGCCACTGCACCGGCCCAAGATGAATTTTAAAAACTTTAAAAATGTTCACATAGAAATGTTATTTTTGCTTTATTATTTTATGACACGAGGTATGTAAACTCTACTGAGGAGAAAAAAGAGTTTAAAACTGTATATACAATATATTATCCACATGTGCATCTTTACTAATTACAACGAGTTTTATTATAACATTGTTATGTGTAGGAAGTCATTTCCATTGTTACAGTGTATGGCACGCACTTATCTTTAGCAAATACCCTAGTATTTTATATCTTGTATAGAAATATGCTTTGGTGTGATTACGAGATGGTTTCTTGAGTGATACTGTTAGAAAATGGACTTGAGGGGGGTTAGTGGGTGAGGGGAGAGAGAGCATTAGAACAAATAGCTAATATATATGGGTCTTAAAACCTAGATAATGGGTTAATAGGTGCAACAAATGACCATGGCACACATCTACTTATGTAACAAACCTACATGCTCTGTACTTGTACCCTGGAACTTAAAAAAAAAAAAAAAAGAAAAGAAAAGTTAAAAGGAGTTCTTCAGAGTAAAGGAAAATGATATAGGCCAGAAACTTGGCTCTATATAAAGAAATAAAGAGCACTGACGGAAAAAAAAAAATGGATTTGAGGTACAAGTAGCCAGCCGTAGTTCCTGTCCATGATTCTCTAGAGGGCTATTTTTTAAGGCTCTTGGGCCCCAAAATTGAGTCAGCCGGACCTCTCCTGTATTCAGAAATGCTTTTCTACCTGATGGGTTAATCGGTGTACATGGCACCTGGTTCCTGCAAATGAAATCTTCAAGTTGCAAAGAGATTTATGTGATTGATCTTTCCCGGAATTAAGTGTTATTGGGGATGAGTGCTAATGACTCTTCCCAGTATCCTCTCCGTTCTTCTGCCTTACTGCCCCTCCCCAAACAATAATAAAAATAAGAGAGAGAGAGAAAGCAATGACAGTCTGGATTTATAATGTCAAAGTAAGTTCAGAGTAAAATGCCTTCTTAGGTTTTCATTTTAATGCCTTTACTATGTGTGAAATTGCCTCTTTTTCTCTTATTACATTTGAGATTGCCAGAATTACCGATCAGCCTATCAGCCAGCCTGTTCTTTATTCAAGGTGCTGACCTAGCTGAGGAGGAAGAATGACCAGTATACAGGGTTTCTTCTAACATTAGAAGAGATATGTGTGTGTCTGTATGTGTGTGTGTGTATACATTCCTTAGAATAAAACTGATACAAAGAAGGCAGATTACTTTTGAAGACTACTAGAATATACTGCTTTATGCATTAATTCCATCTGGGATATGTGACTACACCCAGGCCATTACTTAAATGTTGTCTGAACTTGATGACTATGGAAAATAATCTCTATGTTCATGTCTATATTTTTAAGTGTATTTTCATTAAGTTAGTACTTGATAAAAGATATTTTCTAGGATTAGCCTGCTTGACCTTTGTGAGTCACCAGATACAAAATTGAATGTGTCAGGGCAACTATTCTGAAATCAATTGGACTATGTATATATTTTGTATACCCTTTATCTTCCCTGTGGAGAACAAAAGTTCTTATTGTTGGAGCTAGGTTCTCACATACTGTAGAACATATATTCGAGTATAAAGTGACCCTAAAAATAATGTGCCACTCGCAATGTTATCAGTGAAGAAATAAAAGAGAGGTGAAGTAATATACAAGGGTCAGTCACCTCACACTTAGGGCAATCTGGGCACATGGTAGCCCAGTGCTGAGAACTGTGCCTGTGGTTCCAGTCCATGGCATGCATTTGACCTTTGATGTAGCTGCATTGCATACTCTGCTCCAGTGTTCGAAAAGCAGAGTAAGTCAACAGGACAGAAGAAGCCTTTCAGTCCTTCCTCTCATTCCTGTCATTCCCTTGCAGGCCAACTTGCCCCTGCTGCAGCGTGAGCTCCTCCACTGCGCAAGACTGGCCAAACAGAACCCTGCCCAGTACCTCGCCCAGCATGAACAGCTGCTTCTGGATGCCAGCACCACCTCACCTGTTGACTCCTCAGAGCTGCTTCTCGATGTGAACGAAAACGGGAAGAGGCGAACTCCAGACAGGTGAGAGGGAGGAGGAGCCTGGATGAACCATGGCCTTTTTCTCAACGTTTAACACGTTTATTGTGACAATTAAACTGCCGGCCTATGTCTCTTGCACAATAGCAATAAGCCATTGTGGCCATCTTGAGAATCTGTCTCTGAATCTGTCTCTGGCCTGGGATTTTAACAGAGTTTTGAATCTCTGGCTTATGACAGTTTGGCTTTTGTATAGATTAATCTTTTCTGCTTGTAATATTAAAGCTAAATGGTGAAGATGAACGATTTTTTAGATTTTCCAAGTACAGCTGATGGCTCTTAGATGCACATCAGTATTTAAATTCTCATTTATTATGTAATTTAACCCAACCACATATTTTACTTCAATATGCTGAAATTGGCTGTTCCTAGTTTCCTTAAAATGTGATGGTTTTGAAGCTTGTCTGTTTGTATTTCTTAACACAGTACAGTAGCTATTCGTTGTGGTTTGTATACGAACTAAGAGAAAACTTCTGGGACACTAGATGAACTAAGTGAAGATAAGAGTTATACAGTAGAGACCATAGATGGTATTTTTGCTGAAAATTTTACTTGTTAGATACTGTTCTATCAGCTACTGTGCTCTCATAACTGAGAATGCAAAGAAATGTAACATAAAACTACTTCTCCATTAAACCCTACAAAGTAATTGTTGAATAAAGCATACACATGAAATTTCCCATTTACCGTAGTAAAATAATTTTTGTGAATACCTCATCCTCATCTGTATCTTCTGGTATAGGAATGCACAGTCTTATTAGCATCATTTTGCATAGTATTTTTGAAATATGGAGAATTTTATAATGAAGCTATATTCAAAAACTTATTTAGCATATACTTTGCTTTCTTTCTCTGCTTATCTATTCTCTTTTGCTGCATTTCATCAGGCATGGGTGTGACAGCCTTCGAGAGGTTAACACCCTGACACAGTTATGTTCCACATTCATAGGAGCTTAAGGTCTTTGGAGCTGCTCAGAGACATCTATTTGTGACCGACTTAGCTATCCTTAAATGTATTAGCTGCTTTGCAAATCAGAATGTTATTTAAAAGCCAGCCAGTTTACATACTGCTATTACATAATCCTCTGTTAAGCAGTTTTTATGCTACAATCTCTGGAATTTTGTTCCTCTTGACATAGAACCTCTTAATAGTTTAAAATTCCTAAAGCAAACAGTGAAATATTAGTCTCCTTTTGACGTATTATAGGCCTACCTTCATCTGTGACCCACAAACAGAGCTACTTTCTTATTCTTGCAACTCGTATTTTCTTGGTCACATTGAAGAGTGAAATAGAGCACTTAGTAATTTAGCTTTTAAAGGGAACTGCTTAATCCTGATGCCTGAGTGGCGTGTCCACATGATGCTGAAAACCAAGAGGTGGCTCAACATTAGATGATTTACACGTGCATTCCTGTTTGACTTGAACCCATTTACCCTGCAGGAAATGAGTATGACATACAGATAGTGAGATATTTTAGCTCCATGATGAAAGAATGAAGGAGAGACTCAATGGAAAATTGGAAGAAGGAAATGTATTTAGGGTTGTTGCGGTGGGGGGAGTGTAACAGGGAAAGGTTTAGATAGCTAAGATAAATGCAGAGATGATCCTGTAGGCAAAATTGAAAATGCACACAACTTACTCTGGCATTCCTAACTGCTAAATAACCATAACAGGGAATATGAAAATCTGTTTCATTCATTTCTCTATATTTCCAACTGTTTTCTCACTAGCTCTTTCCCAGTATTTTATGTTTGAATGTATCATGACTTTAGACTATCATTGGACAGTCCTAAGGTAAGTGCTGGGCAGTGTGTTAATATTGATGTGAAAACTTCATCTTAAATTCCGCAGACGCTCAGCATTCTTGTTTTGATGCTCCGTCGCTGTGCATGCATCACTGTATGCATTCAGTCGGGTAGAACTCTCCTAAAAAGAGTCTTTGGTCTGATTTTCCCTTTGGTTTTTCATGGATGGTTGCCAGAGTCAGAGTTCACATGGTTAATCTTTGGATGGAATATTCTTTATCAAATGGAGCACTGAAATATACATTATATCGCAAAGATGGCAAATGGGTTTCCTTAGAGTTAGGAGGAAGGGTAATGAGAATATGTTGTGTAAATACATTTGTATCTTGTGGGAATTTGATCAGAGCCAAGAAAATATGGGCCTCTACAGTATTTTTTCTTTTTGCATATATTTTCTGTATCTTGTTTGCATATGCATTTTCCTCTTCTCTGGTTATTTATCTGTATATCCAGATCTACTATATGAAATTTTATAGAGTATGGAGCTGTCTGACAGCAGAGCTTTTTTTGTTTTACTGAATGTTTTGTTGGTACATATGGTCTGACATGGATGAGCAGCCACGGTGAGATTTTGGAGTCTATTAAACTGGCTCATTAAAAAGATCAATCTGTTTCTGTAATAACACTGGGAGCCATCAGTCACTAAAAGAGGGAAAAACTGACACCTGAGGAGAAAACACATTTTGGTAATTTGTTCATGACATGTCATGAACAAAAGAGCGCTCTATATTTTGTTTACAACTTTGCGAGCTTAAATTCAGTGACGATTGCTGAGTTAATGTACTAAACAGTCATCACGTGTTTCAGGGATGGGTTTTGGCAAATTTAACTTTCTTCTTGTCCTTAAATATGATTGTCACTGGTTATGTTTTTTTTTCTTTTTTTAAACATTATTGTTATTTACAGAGAAATGAGTACTCTAGGGAAGTCTATGAAATTTTTTTTTTTTCTTCTTGTATGGAACAGTGAAATGTTTTCTACTTTCTTTTAAATATAGCTCTGGAGAGTGTCTCTGAACAAGTGTACTGATTTTGTAGGTCTGTGAGAGAATATTGTAGAACCCAAAGTAGAAAAAGACAATTTTTGTTATAAAATTATGTTATTTCTTTCCCAAAATATTAGGGAAACTAAGTAGAAAATTCTGATTTCTATTCTTTGTTAATATGTAAAAGTCAGTTATTTATAGTAAACATTTATTCTTCTATCATGCTGTGATGGGAGGTGCTGAAGAAGAGAATGCAGTCTTTTGTTTTGGAGCCATGTAAACGAAATGAACACTCTCTCGGATAGAGAGTAGAAGCTAAGAGCACTCTTTAAAACTGCTCACCGTGGTAGCTCGTAAAGACACAAGCACTTTTGTGTAGGAGGAAGGAAAAGAACTGTTAGATAATGCTTTCTTTCTTTGAGACTGCAGAATGGATTAAAATTATTAAGATTTAAAGAAAATAATTGTGTTAGGATGATTATCATTGCTGTCTTTCTTTTCTCAGAGCTTTGATATCACAGCTTTTTGATCTAATTTGCCTTTAGTATCGTATTCTCACCTGTTATGCTACTTTTCTGATTTAGGGTTCTTCTTGCTTAAGAAATCAAATCCAATAATCTTTGCTTTTGTATGGGTAACATTGTTGTTTTGTTTCCCATTTTGTTCCCCCTACTATCTCAAATGATTGATGTTAAGTATTAATCCCCTTACATGTCATTATTTTAATGTAATTATGCTTTACATTACTCTCAGTTTAACACTTCTAAACTTTCAATACAAAGGCCTTGTAGTTGGATTAATATGTATTTCCTCCTCCCCCAAAAATTAAACATTATTCTCTAAAAAGACTTGCATGAACTTTAGAGATATGTAATTTGTCACCTGGGAGGGATCTTATGGATACACCAGGCCCCATTCTTTTTTTTTTTTCCTTAGGCATGGTCTGCAGTGTTGCCCAAGCTGGTTTCGAACTCCTGGTCTCATGTGATACTCCCACAGTGTTGGGATTACAGGCATTAGCCACCACACCCTGCCTTTTTATATTTCATACCAAAAGAAAAAAAAATTACACATACTTTAAATTTATGGATTTGCTCATGGGATGTTATCTGTATTTATTTTTTTTAAGACAGTGTCTAGCTATGTTGCCCAGGCTGGTCTCAAACTCGTGGGCTCATGTGAACCTGCTGCCTCAGGCTCCTGAGTAGCTAGGACCTAGGTGTGCACCACCACACCCAGCTGGCTCCCATCTCTTTATTCTTGCACAAAGTAAGGCCCAAAGAACTTGCCTAATGTTGCAAAGTTTCTTAGTGAGAAACAAGCATATTTGCATACTTGAAATCTTCCAGTTGCATAAAATATGTTTCAATGTGCAGAATTTAAATAAGGAAACTCAACTAAGACTTAAGCTTCTCTTTTTTCACCTTACTTTCCCTCATTTATTTTCTATAGTTGCTCAAGTGGGTAGATGCCATAGTATAACATTCTGAGGTTTTATATATCTTTTTAACGGTAGAAGAGCCACAGCTAGCCTGTGTTCCTGACTAACTGTGTTCCTCAGTTAGAAAATGCTGAAGGTTGGAGGGTCAAAGGCAATCATTTTGAAATCATATTGGTTGTATTTGTAAGATTTGTTACAACAGTACACACCAACTAAACCGACTAGGCCCATTTTTTTTGTTTGTTTCTGTAAAATGAAGGAGATTTCACTATTTTTATCTTTCTAAAAGAAAAGATAGATATGCTTTACAAGGAATTGTAGGGTCAACTGTGCAAATAAGAATTAAATTTGTATAACCTGCATTCAGTATTCTATGAAAAAAATGTAGGGATTTTGTGTCAATTTATACATTCTAGTTTGCGTTCCTTCTATTATGTATTCCACAGTTGCAAGGAGTGATTTTTAAAAATATTAGTCACATCAATTGGGAGGCCTTTCAGTGAAATAGCACAAAATTACATTTATTTATTTATTTATTTGAGATGAAGTTTTGCCCTTATTGCCCAGGCTTCGGTGAGGGATCTTGACTCACTGCAACCTCCACCTCCTGGGTTCAAGCGATTCTCCTGTCTCAGCCTCCCAAGTAGCTGAGACATCAGAGGCCCACCACCATGCCCGGCTAATTTTTTGTGTTTTTATTAGAGACGGGGTTTCACCATGTTGGCCAGGCTGGTCTTGAACTCCTGACCTCA